ACACATCTTCAGGCTGCCACGGTTGAGAAACACTGCTCTAAACAGTCCAGCCAAATAGCTTTCAGAGACACCTAAACAAGCAGCCGTGCCCCCCTGCCACTGTCCTGCTGGAGCCCCTCCCTGGAATTGCCAATGGGTGAGATTCAGGGACGTAGAGGACCTCCCTAGGAGGGGCCAAAGAGTCCAAGGTTAGGGATGTACAGAGTAAAAGGGGGTCAGCAGGAAGGAGGGGAACCCAGGAAACGCAGCGTGGGACTCGCCGTTAAGCACGAATGCCCTCCACTCCCCCATCTCGATGGCTTCTCCCTGGCCTTCCTCGTTCCAAAGGCTTCCCATATTCTAACATAATTGCAGATTTGAACTGGAAATTGCTGAGCAGGTGTATTTTTTATTGATTTATTACTCTTGCACCAACCACCGTCTGATGCCGTACAGAGATGAAGAACGCCGCATTCCCTGCCTGCAGGCTTGCAAACGGAAGGTCAGGGCAGAGCGCGGACAGGCTATAGGGCCGGCCAAGCTACCTCAGAAAGCTGGCCATGCAACCTCTGTGGACTTCTGTGGGGACATCAGGAGGCTCACAAAGATTAAAAGATGCTGCAGAAGATCCCTCCGCCCTATAACTCCTGCGCCGGCCCTCCACGCTACCCACCTCTCTTCCTTCAGGGACCCTGGAGTGGCCTCCTGTTGGATATGCGGTCAGGCGTATCTGTACAGCTTCTAGCACCCTGCCCGTGCCAATCCCCAAACAAGGGGCTACTGGGGCAGGAAAAGGAGGGGCAGGCCAAGTGAATGCTCAGAAGTCCATTCCCCCAACGCTGCCACCAACCTGGCAAAGGGGCACTTGCCCAGGGTGGCACCATCTCTCTCTTTCAGGGCCGGGGGCCTCTGCTGCCCCGAGGCTATCAGGCGGAGGCGACCCCAAAGCCAACTCCAGCAACCCCCCCTTGGCGCCTCTGAGCTGCTGCATCAACAGCGCCGCAGTGACCAGGCACAAGATCATGCAGGCACTCCCCAGGTTCGTTGTGCAGAGGGGAAAAGCCCCGGCAGGCTGCTGACAGGTTTGGGGGCTAAAAGCAGCCCGTTTAGTTACTTATTTATAAACCATGTTTACGTGGCCGGCCGCCTCACAGAACATGACTCAGGGCGGCGTACAATAAAACCATAACAGTATTAAAACAGACACAGCCTCCTGGAGCCCGGACTTTGGGGTTCATTTTCCCCGCTGCTGAGGTCAGGCCTTTCCTCAACATGGACCAGCCAGGACAGGCCTGGGGGAGCAACTGGGAAAGCCCCCAGGCCAGAACACGGGCCTCTCCACTGCTGCGATGACCTCCCGGGGGCTGGTGGGGGCCTGGCGGCCTCCCCTCCAGCACAGCCAGGAGACGACCCCCCCTGCCGGCCGTGACTGCTGCCGCCGCCGCCGGGCACCCCGCCGGTACAGCG